CCCCAAAACCCCAAAACCCCAAAACCCCTTGTTTTACTGGAGATATAGGATTAGGGACAAATATTTACAGATTTTTGGGAGTGGAGGGAGAGAAGAAGGGGTGGGTAGTGATGAGATGTTAGGAGGGAGAGGTGTTGGAGAGGAGGGTTGGGGGTTTGGGGTGGTTGATAGGGAAATAGGAGGGGGTGTGCGGGCTTTGGGGGGTTAGGAGCTGTGATCGATTGATGTACAGTTAGTGTGGCTGAATGAAGTTTTGAAGTTGGGATTTTGGGAATGACACTATTTCTTTAATGATGATTTTTGAGACGATTAGAGACTATTGAAAGACAATCACTAATGAGGTCCTAATGTCGATTAATTTTTTGGAGTAGAACCAGTTATGATTCATAAGTTGCTATACTAGGTTAAGATAGAAATCTACTGTGGGAGGTTTAATTAAAGCTATTTGTAAATATCTTATATAATAGTCCAATTCGATCAAAGAAACTTCGCCATAATTATTTACTTTATTAGTTTTTATTCATTAAAACCTTTAGCTTACCAAGTTTTAAACTTAAGGATTTGAACAATTCCTCCAAGACACAAAATTAATGTTTTTCAAAACTCAGCAAATTATCACGAGTAATAGGGAACTAAATATTACCAAATTCTATACGCATCCAAAATTTATATAGTATTTTACCTTTAATTGGACAACACTAATAGGTGGATTACTGCTATAAATTCTATTAATTGCTCTCTATCTAAAACAATTTGGGTAAAGAAAATTATTGATATTAAAATATCAATGTGAAATCACCCGTCTTTAACCTAATTTTTCTATCAATTTCTCTTTTTCTAACTGCATCTCAGCAAGCCCGATAAATATTTTATCTCTTAATTAGTCTGCTTAACAATGTCTTATCTATAAATCAAACGAGAGATGGTATTCTTAGTTTTTGAATGGTTACCTAGCATTTATATCTGCTGATTTACAACAATATTATGCATCAATAACTCTCTAGATAAGCCATTTGAAATATGCCAAAAGGAAAGTTGAAGAGGAGTGATCGACCAGAGCCAGAGTGACTTAAATCTTATAAAATTTGCTGAACTATATCTCTATCATGCCATTTTTTCATACTAAAAATACAATTTATTGAGCATAATTTAAAACTTCAAACTCTAATATAATAGCAGAAGCCATGCCAGATTTCTTTCACACAGAATTTTTTAATATTAATACCAATGAAGCCCTTTAAGTTTTTAGAGGATAAATAAGCTCATCAGATTTTTCAATTCTTCTTTTAATTATTCTCGAATTATGCTAGTTAAGTTTAAGACTTATTTAAGTTATTCTTATTAAATCAGTTGAAATCCCAAAATTCTTTAGACTACTGCTTATAGCTTATCAACCTGACTCAAAATGTTAGCAGGGGGTTTTGAATAGAGGTTCCGGTACTATTTTATGTCTATCGAAAGTTTCACCATAATCCTTAAATTAGTAGGAAAGCTAACAAATCTAATAATATTTCCTACTCATCCCTTAAAATATTTAGTAGATAAATATTTAGACTTCAGACGAAATGCCAATACCAGGAGTCTTTAGAGCAAGGTAAAGGAATTTTACCCGAAAGCACTGGGAATTTTACCCGAAAGCACTGGGAATTTTACCCGAAAGCACTGGGAATTTTAGCAGGCATCTTTAGGTAAAGTATTTTAGAAATTATGAAGAAAGTTTATGAAAGAGTTATGAATAAATTATTAAGTTCTTCTTGCTTGAAAGGCTCCTATGTCTTTCATTGTGACAAAAAATGAGTCATCTGAATCTTTAGGACGCCTGGGTGCACAGAGATTAGGACTAGGTGATAAGTATTGGTTTTTCATTTTAAGTTGAGCTACTCTCCTTAGAAGGCTACTGATGTCAGACTTCAAGGTACTCCTAGTCTTCAATTCATCTTTACCAGGCTGGTTGATAACCTCTTTTGGATTTTTCGAGAGATCTTCTATTTGATTACATGATATAGTATCTTTTGATTTATAAGACTTTTTCCCAATTTTCTTAACATTAGTTTTAGATAGTTGTCGAGATACTTCTCGAGGCCGAAAGCTAAAGAGTTGCTCTACGGCTGTATTCTTACTATTCAGAGACTTCTTTACCATGTTTTGTAAGATCCTATTCGAGTCTCTGACCTTGCAAGAAGCCACACCTTCACTGAGAAGTTCATCTGATAAATTTTCATCTTCATATTGATTATTGGCGAAATTCATATTTGTTATTGCTAATCTAATAATTAGTGTATCAATGATTTAAATATTACTCGGGGTTTTGGGGTTTTGGGGTTTTGGGG